ATTTAAAAAAGATTTAGTTTCGGTGTCCAAAAACCACTGATTGAATCCACCAGAAATTACAATTACAAATATTTCGTGTAAATTTCTGTATTTTCCTGAATCGTGCGTTGAATATAAGTTTAAGTAATTTTTATATCTTTAATAAATATTAAATTTACTGTGTCCAAAACCCCTGATTGAAACCAACAGAAATTTATTCAAAATATTGTAAAAAGTAGGTAGGTACCCGCATTACAAATATTTCGTGTAAATTTCTGTATTTTCGTGAAAATAAAAAAAGAAAGAGTGTAATACATAGATTTTTGTATATGATCACAAAATTGAATAAATTGAAAATAATTACTATTAGCTTCATTTTATAAACAGCACACAGTAAATAGTAGTTTATAAACAGTACTGTTACCAAAGAAAAACATGTCGAATAAAAAGTTATTTATTGCTTAAGTGTATTCAAACAATAATTGGACTTGGTAACAATAGCAGTTAATAATATCAATGAATAGAGTGATTTGCTATAATTTAGCTTACAATTGATTCTTATCGGGAGTCATCGCTTCTTTATTGAATCAAGCAGATCCATGCGGGTTTCTAACAAAAACGTTATCATTATCAACACAAAACTGATGGACATCATTCATGGTAAGTGAAATAATAATGTTCAGAACGAAACGTGTCAATGTTGTTAATTAAATTATCGAAACGGCAATCTGTACTGTAATAATTTGTACACAGTCATAGAAAATTTACGACGAATGAGATCTTGTTTACTTTTAAATGTCTGTATTATCGCATTTTAAATATATAGCCCTAAATTTTTAATAACATAAATATCTAGAATATGAGCTTTGTACTATGTATATAACCAGTATAATCAATCGGTGGTAGGGTCCCCCCAGCTGGGCACGGGACTCCTCTCACTTCTGAGAGGGTTTTAGTTTTAGCGCGAGGAAGTGTCCGCCGCGCTGCCTCAATGAGTGTTGGCTGTTGACGAACTTGACATGTCTTCGAAATATTTTTTGTTTCTTATTTCTCAGACATGCAGGTTTGCTCACGATGTTTCCCTTCGCCGCTGAGCACGTGGTAAATCAGCCATTAAAATTGCAACTAACAATTTCATTGGTGTCGATGGGGATCGAACCCGGGTTGCTCGCGAACTGTGAAATATACAGCGAGTGCTTAGCCCCTGGGCTACCATGGCTTTTGCAAAATAATGCTCGATATAAATTGCCTTGAAATTGTGTTAATGTTTAGATATTTTAGGGCGTTTTACAGTAGTGATGAATCAACATCCCTTGTAAAATCTTTTGGCAGGTATCCATGCACCGTTTTAACCTGACTCATACTGTAGGTGACGTAGTTCATTTAATTACCGCTGATTAAAATTACGAGCACAGAATATGAGTCGTGGGAAAATTTTAATACTTACCTAAGCTCTATGTTTAAATAATCAGAAATAACACACTAAAACTCTCTTCGGGAACATTCAATGTTGGTAAAACACTTATAAAATCCATACAATGATTTTTACATGATATTCATACATTTTTTATAGGATAGGGTGACAAACGAGCACACAGTCCACCTGATGTTAAGTGGTTGCTGTGACCCATAGACGTCTACATCTATCCTCAATATAGAACCAAAATGCAGATGCGTTGTCACCCGTGAGGCCTAAGATGAAATGCCTCTTTTCCAGTAAAATGGGTCTCCGGTTCTCTACACTCACCATACGTAACACAGCAGTGTAAAGCTGCCATTTTACGCTGTGAGAGCGTGGTCCTTCCCCGGTCGAGGCGACCCATTCGTGCTACAACTATACTACTAATATAGCTGCAGCATGGCTCTACCACGTAAAAATTTTAGCAATTAACAAATAGACGAACGTACAGGCAGGCAATTTTTAATTATAATTAACAACAAACTTCGAATTTAATTATAAATATATAAACGTAGGTACACGTATGTACGTATATTACAGCACATACCAGTACATACAGTACAACGAATCACGTTACAGCTTTTTATATATTTAAATTTCTCTAGGTTGTATTTTCATCTGTTTGGGATAAACACCAATAAATATATTAAAGAAAAACACTGTAAACAAGATATACTGGGGTAATATGTATTAGATACTATATATTAATAGAATAAAGTAGAATAAATAAATAAATACAGGCCTGACTCGACCTGTAGACAGGGCAGATAAAGCGATCGAGAGTTAGTGAGGAATTGAAAGGATCTGCAGATGATGCGGGCAGTATCGAGGTGCATCGCGTTCAGCGTTCAAGTCCGGAGTTATCCGTTACCCAATACAAAGACTTCAGATATTCCGATAGGTTAAACAGGACTTACCCATCCGCCGAGACGACTATTATAGCCGGGATAAATTCTTTCGGCACACTACAATATTTACCGGTCACTTCGTGATCGTGAGACAGGCCGAAATATTTTGTTTTATCTTATTCAACTTACACAAGGTTCTCGTCAAAGGCAATAATGACGTAATATCGTCCAAAAATATTTTCCACTGTGCCCAATTCATTTACAGGTTATAACAACTTTATTCGCAAGAATAACACGTCATGACAGTCTCAGTAGTCCGGCGTGATTGTTATCGAAACAACGCATCCGGCAACTTCTACGGCAGGGATGACGGGGTCTCAGGTCACACGTCAGTCTCCGGTATACACAGGATTGTATTATATTTTCATAATTTCTTCTACATAACTAATTATTTTTTTTAAACTAAGTCAGTGCAGATTACTGTCTTCAAACAAATCTTGGTATCATGATCGGAAACACCTTGTACTGTTTTGGATTTGCCATTGTCATTCGCTATGTTAGAGGAGTATGTCATTTAGCACATATAATGACGTCTGATTATCCGATCTACTAAGGAAATAATTAAGGAGGCTGCACACTTCATGATTGTGCATGATGTTGCGCTTATATAACCACTCCTACATGCTTGTGTAGTAAGTTCAGCCTTTGACGCGTTATTATGACATGGAATTTTCTTCTCTTCTTCTCTTATGACCTTATAGCAATGAGTTTTTACAGTAAAATAAATATCAATCTCTTCTATATCCCTATGTTTTCCTTTTTGATGATACATTATCTTTATAAGCACTAGAAACCTCACAAAATGCTCAATATTGCCTAATTAGACCGCTGTCAACAGAGGCCTAGTGTTCAACTTTGTATATCCTTCTTATTTAGTTTAAGAAATATCTTTTAAATTGGTCCAATATTGGAGGAGGAACTTACTTAGGCTATTCAGTCTCGCAGAGCGACAGCGATAGTTTCTTCAAATACTAATTTTCAAAACTGACCTCTATAGTATTGGTTATTTATATTATTAACAATATTTCCATGTTTGATTTAAGCATATGTAATGTAATCGGTTGATGGCCATGTAGTGTAAGAATATACACTACCTTATATCGTCAGGAGTTGGGAAGCAGTCTTCCTAATAACAACTAAAAAACAAAATATTGCGGTTGCCAACCCGCCCGCCAAGTGTGGTAACTATGGCAATATATAGGGGGGGGGGGGGTCGCTATGAGGCAATCTATGGAGGAGGCCTATGTTCAGCAGTGGACTTTTAGTAGGTTGGAACGGTAACGGCAACTGGTTAATTAAATTTCACTTTTTATTTTGGACGATGACATGTAGGTACAAATCTATCAGCCACTGTCAGCCTTGCGTTATTTTGATGAAATAGGTCAGTTTACAGTTATCAGTCATTTTAAAATTTTACCACTGATTAACGACTGCCGACACAATTTTATAGCGCTAGCATGTTTCCGTTAGTGTTTTATTCTTCACGGTACTGAATTTTCGTACGTATGTATAAGTTATTTTTCTTATCCAACCCGTTAAAAAATAGTAACGCTGGTCGATACGAGATTGTCATATAATTAGGAAGATTTTTCGTAATAGTCTTGCATTGGATTAAGACGTTTTGCACCTTCAACTACTTGGTCTGGATAATATAATAACAAGATTTGTCTAACGTGATGGTTACTTCCTTATCTGTCAACTGTCAAATTCTTACCAGACTCCTAATTGTCTCTCACACCAGTCACGGGATGAGATAGGATGATGGATTGTCTAATGTCACTACAATATACTAGTATTCCGTTTAAATTGTAATGAAAACATATGGTTTAGCGAAATAAGCATATTAGGATTATTATTTTGAAAATATTATCTGTATTTTAATTGTATTTATTATTATCGTAACTTCAAACCCTTTTAGTCCTTTACTAAAAAGCGCTACAACTAATTTCTGCTACTCGTATATGTTTGAGGTAATTGTAAGCGACCTGCTATATAGTTAGTTAGTAACTAATCTGTCTCACCGGTAACCGTGTGTATGCGAAAAGGTCCTTAGTCCTGTTACGACACTAATGGTGTGACAAATGTACGTGGTGAACACTTATGTATGTCGCAATTCAGTATCTGATGATAGTTATTATTATGTTTTTGATTTTATAATGGATTAATCGAAGACTTATATCGTTGGTATCATTTCGGACCACGTAACTAACTACAAAGTTACGATCATTTGCTTCGAATCTCCGATTGTGCAAAAACTTACTTTGTCCATTTTTGCGTCTGATTGTATTTTGATCGCCTTTGTTACTCTGTATATGCATCCGAGTTACAATAATCATGGTTATATTAGTAGTTGGAACGTTTGTACTAAAATATTACGAGTATACTCGCCACAGTAAAAAGTTATCGAAGTCTGTTTTTTTTTAAACGATAAGGGTGAAAAGCGAGCACACAGTCCACCTGATGGTAAGTGGTTGCTGCGGCCCATAGACATCTACATCTATCCTCGTTTGCGAATATTGTCTACGGTGTGATAATAGTCTGTGAGTCTATTATCACACCGAAAATAACCTAAATTTTCTAAAAAGAAATGAATCAAATATATCGTCGTTTAACAAGTAATTTGTCTGTAGTATGTTTTAAAAGCTTTTTTTTTTCGAAAAATAAACGTATTCCAAGTAGTTTATGGAAGTATACTGCAAACAGCTGTGTAATGAAATAGAAATGATAAGATATTTAATGGTGTCCCATCGACTATCGTATTTAGTGAGTGGTAATTTTTAGAAAAAGATTTATTATTGATTTATTAGATTACTAGCTGTGCCCCGCGGTTTCACCCGCGTTTTTCTCGTTTCCGTGGAAATACCGAGATAAAATATTGCCTATATTATAGCCTCCCTCAATAAATGGACTATTGAATATTTAAACAGTTTTCATATCAGATCAGTATTTCCCGAGATTACCGCGTTCATAACAAACAACCAAACTTTTCAGCTTTATAATATTAAGAAAAATATAGATTAAGTTAAATTGTATAAGTCGCAGGCAATAGCTGTCTGTCTGTTCGACATTCAGCCAGACACATAAGAATTACGACTACAGGCGGGAGTGTCCGTCTACTTTAAACCGGGTTAAAATATTATTTTAAAGTACTTCTGAGTAAATTATATTTTTCGTTTTATTTTCTTGTGGCAGAAGAATATATTGATTGTTTCCGCAACCTGATCTTGACAACGCGACATATAGTTGGCCGTGCGAAAAACAGTCTTGCCGTAAATCTAATCCTACATATTTAAATGTTTGCCCCTGTGATTTATTTATCGTTACGGCAAAAGATAATTTAATTGGGAATTGGACTCTTTTAAAATGAAAAGGCAAATCATTTGGAATCATTGGGATCCGAGGTATAAGTACTGTTTGACCAACCGCTGGACCAGTCAAAACTGTTGCAACGATCACGTTATTGCGAAGAAATTTAACCTGAAGTCGAGTCCCGTTACATAAATTTGGTGGCTTAAGATTTCTAAGTAAAATAATTGGGGCACCAATTTTTAACTTGAGAGAATGTGGGGGGAGGCCACTCGGGTTTAAAGAATTAAGAAATTCCTGTGGATAATGGACTGCATCTTCTTGATCCATTACATTATCAATAGAAGTGTAGGTGACTATATCCCCTGGAAGTTTAGTTAAAATTAAATCGTTAATTTCGTCAACACTACTGTTTCTCGCCGCCAATATTGCTCGTTGACACATCCATTGATAATCTTTATTTTCTATTTCGACGATATCTGGGTAAACTTTTGATATTAAACTCTCAATGCTAGTCACTTTTTCTCCTAAATCTTGATCAATAGGTATTTTATTTTCAAAATGAGGTACTTTTCCGTCTCCAATTAAAAGTAACTTCAAAGGAAAATTTGTACTACCTCCCCCCAAATGTGCTCTCATGTTCGTAGATAGATTTAAGGTATGAACAAATTTCCATAATGGAGAACTTTTGAGGCAAGATTTTACAATGTCTGCTCTAGTTCCTCTTACTACTACTGGTAAAGTTTGCCGAAAATCCCCAGCAAACATGACAGTAATCCCACCCATGATTTTATCACAGCTTCTAATATCTCTAAGAGTCCTATCTAGAGCCTCTACGTGAGCTCTATGAATCATGGTACATTCATCCCAGATTATTAAAGAGACGTCTTGCAAAACTTTTCCTAAAGGGCCATTTTTACGAATAGAGCACACGCTATCTTTCTGTAACGAAACGGTTAGGGGCAGTTTAAAAGTGGAATGAGCTGTGCGTCCACCAGCTAATAAAGTTGCAGCGATTCCTGATGACGCTACTGCCAAAGCTAGTTTTCCCTGAGACCTTACTTTTGCTAATATCAAATTAGTAATGAAAGTTTTGCCGGTTCCGCCTGGAGCATCCAAAAAAAAATATTTTTCCCTCATTGAAACGAACACTGTGCATAACACTATTGTATGCCATCACCTGGTCATTAACTAACTTAGGTTCATTTACAGTAATATACTCATTTAATTCATTTACATCGTATGGCTTCCGCAATGCTATTTCTAAAGGATCCAAATTATGGTGTGTGTTATTCCTTTTTGTTGCAGGAAGCCCAAAATCAGTTAATGATTTATCACAAATCTCATGAATCTTATCTTCAATTATGATAAGTCCATCATTGTATATGTCATCACTATATGCTAATGTCATATCCTGGGTCTCATTACGCATTCTGTATAATATATCTTGACACAAATCTTCCCGAAATTTGTTCCATAGCTGCAAGGGATCAGATGGTTGGCAAAATATGAGGATTATGGTAAATAATTCTCTTAATTTTGGAGCCGGCTCGGACATGACAGCATCTGACATAGTATTTTGCCAATGTTCATCTCCCTCCAGTAAACCTAATTTCTTGCAAGCTCCTTGATAAGTATTGAAAATAACACCATTTACTGTCCTTAGATGTTCAAATGACATTGGACCGCGAACATGATGCAGTAACATTCTTAAATAGTAACATTCAGTTTGTGTCGGATGAATGTTGTAGACACGACCTAAAGTTGAGTCTTTTTTTATACCGGGATATCCTTCAACATCTTGTCCACGTCTTCTTCTAGAAAATGAATTTCTTTCCCATACGTAATACTGGGGTACTTCGTGATATAAAAGGGTTTTGGCAAAATCGTCTCTTTTGCAAAGATCAAAGAACGCTGTAAGTGTCGTTGATGAAGGATTGTTGACGCGATCTTGAAGATTTTCATTATTATAAAAATAAACTCTTTGTCCATTTTCTAAATGAACTGCTAAATGAACTTTTGCCGGAAAACGTTCATGAATCATAAATTGGAAAATTCTCCAGAGTGCTTCCGAGGAACTTATATAGCGACCATTTAAATATTTTTCTACTTCATCGTTATTATTTTGTAACGAAAATGTGGCTTGATCAGAACCTTTATGGATATATTTACAGATGTACTTAATGGCTTTGACCGATTGGCAAAACTCTACGTTAATGTGTGCATTGAAACTTCGTGATAGCACAGGGTTATAGGGAACAACCCACCTATTATCCACTCTCATTTCTGTACCTTTGACACGAATTATTGCGGTGTTTCCACCATTATCTGGTGAACGGCGCTTGTAGGTTGGGTAACCGTCATCCCCGGTTTGTGTTTCAGAAATAAACTGCCTGGGGTATTTTTTAGAGCAAACGTTTTCTTTCATACATGGTGACGCAGGATTGTGAAATCCGCAAGGCCCATGTATCATATTTTTTATGACAATGTTATAAAGCATTGGGTCTTGTTGTTTGTCAGGTATTTCAGCCGATATTATTGCATCTATGGAATCCGGTTGCACTTTGTTAGCCAGCCACAACAAAATGTGAGCGTGAGGTAAACCTCTTTTTTGCCATTCTACACTATAAACGAAGGCTTTCGATGGTCCAAATATATTTTTCTTCGTTAATAGGTCTATCATTTTTTTTAGTTTTAAATGAAATACTCTAGAAATCAAATCATGTCTGTCGTAAGAATTTTGATCGGGTAGTAACTCAATTTTTATTTCTGGCCATTCGGAGTTACATGTGAATGTTATAAAGAGATCTGGTCTTCCAAATTTCCTAACATAGATCATGGCATCTTGACTTTTTTCATTCATGTATCTAGGAGATCCTGTAAATGACGATGGCAATATAACGTGCTGGCCAACATTAGAAGCGTCTACATTGCCATCATTAACCACGGCATCTCTTAAATGAATGTACTCTTCTGCTCTTAATTTTTTTTGATTTCTTTTTATGAAGTCAAGCCTCTCAGAAATCATTTTTGCCGCCATATCAACACAGTATTGATTAAATAATCCTTTGAAATAATGTATGCTGTTAAAGTCATTTATTCTCACCATGAGTCTAAATGCATAAAACTGCATACATGATATAGTTTTAGATCTAGCAGCAGTATTTTGCTGTGGAATATTTATACAATATCCGTCATTTCCAAAGGGAAACAGTAAAGGATATTGAAGTGGGTCATAAGATCTATGTATTTCAGAAACTCGCTGAAGGCGCCCGTCTCTGGTATTTAACACTATATCTCGGGGACCTTTGTCTTCATCTATTAAAAGAACAGCTACTTCATCTACCATGGGCGCGTTATATCGACCTCGATGTTCATTAGGAGGTTTCACATCAGCATGAATGATAAGTTTAAAATCATTCGTTGGTCTGTTTTCGAGATTATATTTAAAACTTTGAATATAAGTATTGTGATCGTGAAGATATGTTTGGAGAGCGTCGATAAGATCGGTTTTTAACGTTGGGTTTAAATTTGAGCGTAAAGATACCTGATCTGTATGGGAAATAAAATATATTTGCAAAAATTCGGGTTGTGCGCCTTCAGGTGGAAGTAAATTACCGATTAGATGGTAAACTTGCCCCTGGACTTTAAAAGTGGGCATAAATTTTCCTTCACGAATTTCTTTGGCACCAAATGAAGTCATCTGAAACAGAGTATTATATTGTCTAGAGTGATTTAAGAAATGCTTAGAAGATGGATGTGAGCCTGATATTAGATCTTTAAGAATTGACGTTGGTGCTGGAATTTTAGGAATATTTACTTTGCCACCACTACAACACAGTCCAGGAGCTTCAGCCGGCCATTTTTTTGCTTGACATGAATTACATATTTTATTCATTCTGCAAATATTAGTACCATTTAGCTCAGCATAGTCAAGGGTATAATCATAAGCAAATGCTGAATTCAATAAATTATATTGCCTGCGAGTTCTGTTCCCTGCTGTTCGTGCATTTTGCTGTGCTAATCGATGGGAACGTTCAGCACTTGATTCCCGTTCCCGGTTTGCCAAAGTGCGGGAATTCTGTTTAGCTAAACGTTGAGAACGTTCAGCGCTTGATTCCCGCTCGCGATTTGCCGAAGTTCGGGAATTTTGTGCGGCTAAACGTTGAGAACGTTCAGCACTTGATTCCCGTTGTCGATTCGCCGAAGTACGGATATTTTGTGAGACTAACCGCTGCGAACGTTCAACACTCGATTCCCTAAAACGGTTTTGTTCACTGATCGCTCGTTGAGTAGCCAACCTGTGCAGATTTTCTTCGGGTGTTTCATTGCTGCGTAGAAGTCGCAATCGCTTTGCAGTAGCAGTCTGCCTAGAAAGCTGAGTTCTTTTTCTAGGCATAATAGTAAAGAGATAAAAGAAAAACCGTATAAAATTAAAACTTAATTAAAATAAACTGAAACGTAGTAATCAGGTAAAAGAAACGTAAGGTGAGTAATTATTAAAAGTCGCATGAAATATATGTCAAAGGAACGATCGTAAATGACTTCAAAAAACGCAACGCTGCATTCAACCGTTCCGTAGGGAGCCGACCACGCGTCTGAGCCGCGCGGCATGGTACCTTGTAAACCAAAACACGCGGGCGGCGCGGCGGGGGGAGGTGGGGAGAGCGACAGGCGGCCAGCAAGCGCGGCCTCCTCGTCTCGCCCGCCGCCGCGCCGCCGTCGTCTTGCTTACATCAAGCGCGCGTGGATTTCCTTAGCAGAGTTATTTTAGAAATGTATTTATTATACTCTTCAAAGATCTTACTTACTATATTTCGAAAAAGATTGTTACAGGATTTTTAAGTTGATAAAAAACTCTATGGTCCATAACTCATTAATAGGTACCAACTCTTAACATCTTACACACGTGATAACTTTTAAACGAAATATCCGATTGAGATGAAACAAAAAGTATTTTACTTCTACATAAATACTCTTAACATAATGCTTAATTTCGATAAAGATTAATATTACGATACATATTTCACGTAGTTTTTTTTTCTTCAGACGATTTAATAATTAATTTGAACACAAAATCGGTTATTGTGATTAAACCATAATAGCTAGATACATGTTCTCGCGGACTTTTTTGTGGGTCTTAATGGGATCTACAAACCCATAGTACATCATTTTGTTTTATTGTCAATAGTTTTTGCAGCGCACGCAAAAATAGGTTTTCGATTTTACACCTTGTGTTACAAAATAGCAATTTTATTACGGATCCCTAATTTTGAAAAAAGAAAACATAGCCTATAGCCTTCCTCGATAAATGGACTACCCAACACTGAAAGAATCATTCAAATCGGACCAGTAGTTCCAGAGATTAGCGCGTTTAAACAAACAAACAAACAAACACTGCAGCTTTATAATATTAGTATAGATAATCGTGGATGTTTTTCAAAATAATTTCCTAAAAAATGAGAAAAAAATATGGTGATTCGTTTGGAAAATTATTTTGAAAGATCTAAAACCTAAAACTTATCATATTCTCTCTACCTCAATTATTAATGCCACGTGGTAGTAAGGTCTGCATTTCTACTTTTTCGCTTTCACTTCGCTCTATAACACTAATCGAATTTAATTTTGGAATTTATTCTAAAATTCTCAGAAATTTCGCTTAAACATTCATAATGGACGGAAATCGACGGCCTTCTTGTATATTTATTAATAATTATAGATTATAGATGTCCATAAACAGTTGTGCGTAGCGATAGAAATAGTTATCGCACTACAAAGAACTGCCATATATGTCACGGTGTTAACATCCGTGAAACGAAAATAGTGAAAGCAAAATAACTGTGCTGTGCGTGTGCTGCGTTAGATTCTGTTTAGATGTTAAGTATAACGCATTATGATAAACATTTAATGTACTTAATAGATGTGAGTGTTGGTAGTTTACGTTATTCATCAAAATTTATCCTTTAATTATAAAAAAAAAACTAAATTACAGCATAATGGTTAAGGCCATTATTATGTACATTATGTGAGAAGGGGTCGTGACGAAAAAATCTTACACTTTTCGTCGCCTAGCCCCCATCCGCCAAATTCTTACCGTGCGTTAAGGAACTTCGTTCCATAAACACAAGCAATGATGTACGCCTTAACTATTCCAAGTAAGCTTAAAATGTTTGTGTTAGGTACGGTTTAGTTACTCATAGACCATGTTTGTAGGCTTTGTCTTTCCCACTAGCTTTTATTTAACTTTACTTTTTCAAGTAAGTTGTTACTAGCTGCATTTAATGACGTATATTCTTTAAACGATAAAATAGCTTACACCATCACGGTAACACAGACAAGAGTCAATAAAAGGTTTCCTTGGCACGATGATATAGGTTCAGGTTACCAATTTTCGTAGTTGACCGTGTTATTCGGGTAATTAAATATAAAACTAGACTTTTATCCGTCTAACAATTTTTTTAGAATAATGGTAGCAAAGGAGCACATAAACCTGATGGTAATTGGATTCTGTGGCCCATAAATATCTACATCTATCCTTGTTTCCAGTAAAAAGGTTCTCCATTTCTATACACTTTTCTCCGTTTCTCTACACTCACCATACGAAACACAGCAGCATTAAGCTGCTGTTTTACGCTGGTATGATGTGAAAGTGTCGATCTTCCCCGTGCTACAACCATAGCATTTTAGATTTAAAAACAAGATTGAAGAAATTAATTCTATTACTTTAATTCTTGAGGCGTGGCCCTTTTAGCATCTGTCTTAAGTTTAAAATGTTAATTAGTTAAACGTAACTATCGTACATGATGACCTTTTTATAGCATAATTAAAAAAAGACACTGTAGTTCCGATTGAGAGCAATTGAAAGAAGCATTTGTTATTATATTTTTTATGTTTACGAAGCGCCAGTAGCTTAATGGCAGGGCGCGGACCGTGAACTCGAAAGGTCGTGGGTTCGAATCCGCCATTCGACTACTGTCGTGAACCACTTCTAACACAAGCATTTTAAGCTTACCAGAAGTGGTTAAAGGGAATATTAGTAATGTTTAATAACATTACTAGTTTTTAAAAAAAATATTCTTCTCCATATGTACAGAAATTGCTTACCAAATCATGATGTCAGAAACTCTTTTAATAAAATTTTTAGTATAATATCATTATAGTATGTTGTTGTAATCTAATTGCGCTAATAATGTTGTAGAAGAAGTTTTACGCAAATCTGATAATAATTGAAGACCTCATATTTTAGCAGAAACAACAACTTCTTATTTTAAGTTCTAGAATATTATACATTGAATAAAATATTATTAATTATATGATATTTATGTATCAGGTATTAGACGTTATATTACTTTGTAGTCACGGAATGAAGTTAAAGTTCTGGTTTCCAACGTCACGATTAAGCAACGGTATTTTTGGTTCCCTCTTGGAAAAGAGAGCTTTTAGTATTTCAAAGTCTAGTCGTGATATGTATGTTTTTAAACTTAATTTGTCTAATCACAAGATCTCATGCTGATGGTAGTTGGTAAAATCTGAATATGATTACAGACTGCACACAACCTAGGATGAAGTAGGAAGAAGAATGTAGCCCGACTCAGCAACGATATTACGAGGGAGTTATACTTAAAACGTATTTTCACTTATGTTCATAAAAAGAACGATAAGAATATGTAATGTTACGGCTTATTTTCCCAAATACTATGGGAGGGGCTCGTGTGTACGATGACGTAAGATTTATTTACACTACTGCCAATATTTAGAAGCCTTATTATTGCTCGATGGTCACTACGTAAAGAAATAATAAGTACCAGTTATTGTTATAGAACAATGTGATATAAAATTAAATTTATAATGGTTATCATGTAGTACAAAAACAATTTATTAATGTAGTATAGAATAGAATCTGGTACGACTTTCCATTGACGTCAGTGGAGTTTGGTGTTGATACGTATTTTTACAGAAAGATTACACTGTTATAAGCACACACACAAAGTCTCAATATACGGAAACGCGTAATTTTTGAGAAAAGAATAATTGAAAATCAATTATTCTATATTTATGTCTAATCTGCTAATAAACTGGCGCCATTTTGTAATGGCATTGTTGACGTCAATAGGGATGTCGATTCTTTCCGAAAAAGGTCGATTTTTAAATCGATTCAAATTGTAAGCTGATGTATCGATTCCCGAAAAAATCGATTTCTAAAATATCGATATTTTTTCATGTTTGCATTTATAATGTAAATATAAGTCCATTTTATGAGAAAAAAATCCCCTTCATCATAAAAAAATAAGGGGACTGATTCATAAGGATTTCTGTATCTATTTTGAGACTGCTACGTCTCCGGCGCTGCGGGAAGAGCAACCTCTACGCCTTAGCGTAACAAATCGCAGGCATCCCTCCTCGCCTCCGCAGCTTCGGCTTGTTGGTCGCCTTCGGCGACCAGCCTCAGCCGCTCCGGCTCGTCCGATGCCTACGATTTGTTACAGCAGGCGGAGGCTGCTCCCCCTACGCGCCTCCGGCTTTATAAAACCACTCTAGGGGTAGGACAGACTCGTACCAGGTGGAGTCGGGGTCAATCAATTCGGTTCTTTGACATAAGTTGAACCTAACCTATTTTATTTGTTATCTGCCCTAATAGGTACTGTTAAATAAAACAAATTTTAATAAGAGATCATTTATCATGGTATCTTTTTTGTTTTTCATAAAATGGGTTTATATTTACATTATAAATAGAAACATTAAAAAAATATAGATATTTTCGAAATCGATTTTTTGTGAACCGATACATCAGCTTACGATTTGAATCGATTTAAAAATCGACCTTTTTCGGAAAGAATCGACATCCCTATTGACGTCGACAATGACATTACAAAATGGCGCCAGTTTGTTAGCAGATTAGACATAAACATTGCAAGAATAATTGATTTTCAATTATTCTTTTCTCAAAAATTACGCGTTTCCGTATATTGAGACTTTGTGTGTGTGCTTATAATAGTGTAATCTTTCTGTAAAAATACGTATCAACACCAAACTCCACTGACGTCAATGGAAAGCTAAGCCTTAACTTTTTCTACTTTTGCAAATATAATATAGGCAATTCCTTTCTTAACGAACTCTTCAAACGTGTTTTAAATTTATACGGATTTGGAAAAATAAATGCAAACCCATATGTGGTTTTAGATTCATAAACAGGTTGTGTCGGTTTCATAATGAGCCAGTTTCGCCTTGGCTTGGTTACGCGCATTTATGTTGACATAACTACGTAGGTACCTACCTCCTTAAAAAGTAACACTAACATCGGTCGTAGTAGAGCCAATATTAAAACTAATAAGAGGTGAAGTTAGCGTCACTTCATTGAAAAATAATATTATTATTACGAAAGAACCAACAGGCTAAACACAACATTTATGATACTCGAATTTATTGTAAAATTAATTTGTGGGAAAATAAATTGCAGTATAATTCATTTACTAACTACGCATTTTGCACACATTTGTACCTATGTTTCTAAATTTTTTTATTCGTTTTAATACAAAATATTACTCACCGTATTGCACGAAAAAAGCGAATAAAACCACAGGAACGATCAACGTAAATTTTGCCATTTTATTGTTGATCACTCGCGTTATTAGTAAACAAAACAAATATTTGGACGGATAATAAACGTTTCGAAACACACTCTACTAACGAATGCCAAAAGGCAAGTGAATGGAACGGACGGTCGAACCAACTGGCGCGCGGGAGAATTATTAATCTGTGGAACAGGCAGGGCGTAGACGCCCGGCGTAGTATAGTACGCGAAAGCAGTACGCCTGGGTACGCCCGTATTACGTATCTACAAACTCAGGTCACAGAATATTGCTATAAACGTAATATCAGATAGTTCAGACAGTAAACTGGTTATGTTGTTTTTGTTTTTATTAAAGCTCTAATTCAATATGGTATGGTATTTATATTTATATAAAATAAATAAATATGAAAAAATGTACCTAGTGAATACGAAACGAACGAAAAACAAATTTTCATAGGACGTGCATACAAGTTTTCTATGTGGAGAATCCTAAAACGTATAGTATATAATATCTGTTCATTTCAGTTATGGTTGAGATGACATAACTACATATCTATTGATGGAAAAAAGGATAAATAATTTTATTGTCAATTTTTCCAAATTTGCTCATACAGTAAAACTAGAAGTGTACATTATTATTTAGAGAAACTAGTCAATGGAAGAAGTATTGAATATTACTGCACCTCATGAACACCTGCAGCTAACTTCATAAAAGAAGGCTACAGATGAATTGTTACCCCTGAGGCCGTAGATGGAATACCCCACAGCCTGCAATCATTCTGTGGCTCCCACCAGCCCAGAATATAGTTATTAAATACAAATTCCTCATTAAGTAAAGATAATTCGTAATTTAAATAACATGCAAATAGAGTTCTAAAGAGCTATTTCGTCTAGGTGAACTAAACGGTTTGCATTTTATTTTGCAATCGGTCCCAAAAAAGAAAACTAATTTGATATTTTTTTCTGTTGATCACGGACCATTAAAATACGGACGTAATGTTACACACATTTCAGTTTCAGTGTAGCATTACGTCCGTATTTTTTCAACGTCCGTGCTGTGTTATATTACATGACATAACGTTGTCAGGTTGTGTGCGTGACCTCAACTTTCGTGCCGGCACTTATTTGCCAGCTCTGACTTTACTCTTTGCAGTATTTGTATAGTGCTATCTATCTATACAAGTTACGAAACGTCCCTGACTTGCGAAGCGATGTTTTTGTTAAATCTAAGCGACTGATCGACCTTTCTAAAGACGACGCATAGCCTAAAGTAAAACCTCTCACGTTATAGACAAGTGCTTTGTATTAATTTAATAATTTCGATAATAAAAGTGATTATGAATGGGAAATAAACTTACATTTTGATTGGTTATAAAACGTAATTGTTCAAACAAATACGATACAAAAATACGTATAACGGAATGGATTTAGACTTTGGAATTGACTTTTTTAATTTTAAATTGATGGAATTAAGCAAATAGAAAAATTTAATTGAAAAATGATTTTCTTGAACTTAAAAGTAAGCGCTTGACGTTGACGCTTTATTTCTGCTATGCGTAAAACGCGTAAAATGTCATTGACCCCTTCGTCCGAATTACTTTATCGGTTCTTCTGAGACGCATTAAAACCGGAATGTTACTTTCTCTGTCTGTTTCATAACAACAAGAGAAAAAAATCGATATTTTGTAAATAATAAAGCTTTTATTATGGAAGTGAAGTTGAAGGAAATGTTTAAGCGATCTAACAGTAGGTACCTATCTAGTTCGAATTGTAGGTATTACAATTTTTATATCTACCTATTGTCGAGGATTTGTTGGCATAGTAATATGAAAAATAAGATGTAGTAAACATAATTCCTAAAATATTGTAAAATAAAGAACCTAGGGTAATTACGTACACTCTGAGTAAAGATCCAACTAATGACTACGTTTAAATCTTATATAAACCCGGTATTTTCCTATCAACCTCATGGAGAGGTGGGAGGGCCCAGACTCCTGACTCACAAATACAAAATTACTAAAAACTTTTATTTTAATATACTTAATTTATATTTTTATTATTACACGTACTTCTCGAGATTTATCAATCGACATTTATTTTCGTTCTTCAATAGATGGTGACCGCGACTACAAATTCGAGAAGCGAGCGATCACCTAAAGTATCAACTATATTGATGAACAACTGAAAAAGCTGGAAGTTTGCAAAGAAATGGCAGATTAATTGATGCAGCCACATGTATATCGGATGCTTGAACTCTACGACTTAATATTTGGAAGCTAGCCGCGTCCATTCATTTTAATGATAAGTCTGAGTCGTTGAGTATGACGGCCAAGAAATCACCGGATAAGATAGTATTATGTCAGCTCAGAAAACTTAAGCCCAGATGGGAAAAGAGAAAGAGGATGGCAAGATTAATATTATTAAACGTCACTTTTTCCTCCTTTGTACCTCTCAAGACAACTAACTCTATTAGCGGTTATATCTTATGTAAGTGTTTAAAGTACTATTTTAAATATTACATTGTTCTTATCCATATTATTAAACTTTAAGATACATAAATAATATATATTTATAATAAGAAAGTACAATAAACTGTGTATTAGAATATAACTTATTAGTTTGAACAATAAATATTTGGAATAGGACACTTATCAACTGCCTGCTCACAAGGTTGAGGATTTTCAACTGAAAAGTGACCGTCAGTACGATTTGACTCATAAGTCAGCGGAGGCAGAGAGGGAGACCCTAGCCGTTAGTTTGGACATAGCGAAGGCCTCCGATCGGGTTTGGCACAAAGCGCTTCTTTCGAAGCTCCCTTCCTATGGGCTTCCCGAGAATTTAAGCAACTGGATCAGCAGTTTTCTTGCAGATTGAAGAAACAAAGTCGTAGTAAAAGGTGTATGCTCCATTTACAAGCCTATTTATGCTGTTGTTCCAAAAGGCTACGTGCTATCACCTATGCTGTTTCTTCTGCTTATCAATAATATGTTGCAAACCAGTAACGTGCACTGGTGATGCTTTATATACCGGCTGTGCCAATATTTCCCGGGAAAACGTCGCCGAGTACCGGGACAAACTCGTGCCTGAAGTAGAATCTTTGCCGGATAAGGTCTCGGATTGGGGCGAATAAATCTAATTAAGTTCAATGCCCAGAAGGCACAAGCTTGCGCGTTTACAACTAAAAAGAACCCCTTTGTCATTACTCCTCAATTTCAGGTCACTCCCCTTGTTATCTCAGCCAGTATCGGAATCTCCGGCGTTGACATATCGAATAACGTGCAGTTTCATGGTCACTTGAAAGGGAAGGCTGAATTAGCCTCTAAAAAACTTAGCGTACTCAGCAGAGCGGGACAGTATTTGATGCCGGTACACTGCTTGCAATTTTACACGGGGCAGGTGCCTTCTAATATGGAATATGGTGTGGTACTTCTATATGGTCGGGGCTCCCAAGTACCAGCTCCTTCCACTTGACCGCATCCAGCGTAGAGCGGCTCGAATCGTCGACGACCGACGAAGACGAAAGACGAGACGAAGTGATGCGCATTTACCACGGGGAGGGTTCAGAGGAATTGTTCGGATTAATTCTAGCCACGAAATTTCGTCAACTCATTTCACAAATTCACATCATCAGGATGTTTGGCGGTCCACAACTGTCGGACCTATACGACTTAGTAACCTTCTAGAAACGAGCTTACTCCTTTTTAAAGTAAAAGAAAATTAAATACACAGGTAATGATCCCATATTCAAAGGATTATTGAAATAAGAACGCATTTTCTGTGCCTTGTATTAGTAGTAGATCTCTCTTGGTTCAGTTTTAATTTTATTAATTACAGGATCCCAAGCAGGTGGTAGCCTATACCCAATCTCCTTCTTTATTGAAATTAGGACTTTTTGACTTTCAATAACCTCATCGTAGGTAGAAATCGATGGTCTTTCGCGAGGATTTCTGGTCTATCAAATTTGATGTCATGACCATCTAGAATATGATCAAAAACCGCAGACTTCCCGAAGCACTGGTGTTTCACATCACCTAGGTATATGTTCCTTTACGCGGGATTTATAGAATTTTTGATAAAGATAATCTCATTGAAAAAATACGTACTAATAGTTTTATTTAATGTGTAGTGTTCGCGTAAATATAAAAAATCATTATCGTTCAACAAGCTACTAAGGCGACTAAGGATAAAAACTTCCTAGAGAGAAACTATGTCATCAGTAGAGTGGAGTCTGTCTAGATTATCTGGCTTTATTTTGATGATAATAATCATACATAATCAATGTTTACCACCTGGTAAAGAAGAAGGAGAATCACTATGTGTGTCACACAAAAGAATATAAAGGGGTGTTTATACATTAAATTTAAACTAATGTTACGGATTTTATCGCTTTTGATTTAAATTTTTTTTCTCAACATTTCGGCTGCTTGTGTTAACAGTTTCCTTCATCATTTTTCAGCTTTAGTTTATGGTATCTTTATTCTCTTCAAACTCTTCTTTATGTCTTATCTGATCTTCTTGTTTAGCGCTATTCATCAACATTATTATTTTTTGTGTCTACTGTTCTATTTTTTCCTTATCCTTGTCTGTTATTTTCCTACGCGTCATTTCTTTCACGCTTCAGCGTTTTTGTTTTTATTTGCAATTCTGAAAAACTTATTTATTTACGTGTTCCTTTAGCATATTATATATATGCCATAGTCTTTGGAAATTCAAAAAAAATCTTTGACAAATTGCCATATACACAGATACCGAAGTGATTCTAAAAGTGATCGTATTTTGCTAAATTTGGCACGGAATAGCATTTAATGATGTTTATAAATTGAAGATCACGCGAGTGAAGCCACGGGTGAAAAGCTAGTCTGTATAAATCAAACGATAGAGGATTGCAGTTGTGCGCGCATCACGGAAAACTACTGGATAGATTTCAATTACATTTTCTAAGTTTTATTTCTTAGACACTTGGCCTTTATCTAAAAAAATACATACATAAACACTCACGCCTGTTACCCAGAGGGGTAGCCAGAGACTATGGAC